TATTCAAAATAATTTGGAAATGGAGTAAATTTTTATTTTAACTCAAGAGCATTAATTATTACTTATGAAAACTTCATTAATAAAGTTAGCTTTGCTGAAATATATTACCAAAGCTTTAATTAAATAGAAAAGATTCTTTTCTTAATAAAAGAGGTTTAATAATTCCTTCTCTTTAATAAATGATTTGTGAGGTAATATTCTAAAATAATCTAACTGAGATTAAAATGTTTCAAGAGAACTTTATAAGTTTAGTTAAAGTAGCTTTAACGAGTTCACACAGATAAAAGATTCGTTTATAGTATGCTAACACTCAATATAGAGTTATTTAAGATATTCTCAAAAAGGAATTTAGTTATTGAGTGAAGTTGTAAAAGACCAAATAGAATTGAAAGGATTTTCGGTTTAAAAATTTTTAAGATCCTTTTTTTAAAGTTGTAGTTTTTCAAAAATTTTTGGGAAAAGCAGTAGGAAAATCTGAAGGTTTGTTTACGGTTCTACAAATCTAAGGAGATAAAAAAATTTGTACCTCAGAAATAAATGCAACTTTGTTAACCACCTGAAGAGATTATCGATTAATGACAAATTTTATGATCTATAAATAGGCATATATACCAATCTCTGTCTCAAAATATTTACTATTAGTTTTAAAATATAATAGGATTGGATTAAATTGCAGTCGATAAACAATCGTCCTCATGAATTTTATTGATAAGACGAAGGGTTTGTATATGATATTTTTAAGTGACATAACCTATAAAGCTAGGCAGTCTATTGTTTAGTGTTACTATCTTGAAATGAATTTCCAAGAATCAGCTTTTTGTAGAAATTAACTCGGAGGAGAAATAATGAATCAATGCTACTTCCACAACTTCAAGTGAGCATAAAACGGTATGACGTAAATTAAAAAAGGATCTTTTTAATCAAAAACTACAACATATTTCAAAATCATGTCAGTAAACTTCAGGCAGACTAAGACTCAGAGTTACTATTGTGCAGGGGCAATTGTGAAAACAATAACACAATTAAGGCCATCAGGTGTTACTTCTCCAGAGCCATCGTTGCCCATTTGCACAATAGGAGAGATATACTGTGATTCATTATTATCATTCTGGCAGAGTGTTTGCTGGTAATTTCATCTCTAATTAGATCCTCCTAAGATTATTCCGAATCTTCCAATGCCTTAACAGCAAATTTAACTTAATACTATCATATTGATCCCTCTGATTTAGAAGTTAACCAGTAACTTTAGCG